ATGTACAAGACAATTAAAAAAATTTTTTTTTCATTTCTGTTAACAAAGCACTTATTCTGCAGCTCATGGATTAAGGAGCAACTTAAACTTTTAAGTTTTATTGTTTAAGAAATACATTTCATAGGCTTTACAACATGAATGGATCTGGGCAAAGTAGATAAAAAACCTTCTGGAAATAATTCACCATTCTAGATGCCAGTAAGAACATTTGTGATCCATGGGTGAAGTCAAAATATCAACATTAACAGGAGTTTGGAATGTGTTGATTCCAATCCTCATGGATGACTTTGAAGGGTTTAAGACGTCAGTGGAGGAAATAACTGCAGATGTGGTGGAAATAGCAAAAGAACTAGAATTAGAAGTGGAGGCCGAAGATGTCGTGGAATTGCTGCCTGTGATAAAACTAACAAATGAGTCCGGACATGCTGGATCATGCCTATAATCCCAGCACTTTGGGAAGGTGACGTGGGTAAATCATCTGAGGTCAGGTGTTTAAGACCAGCCTGGCCAACATGGTGAAACCCCACTTTTGCTAGAAATAAAATAAATTAGCAGGGCGTGGTGGCACACGCCTGTAATCCCAGCTATTTGGGAGGCTTAGGCAGGAGAATTGGTTGAACCAAGGAGGCGGAGCTTGCAGTAAGCCCAGATTGTGCCATTGCACTCCAATCTGGGTAACAAGAACGAAATCCCCTCTCAAAACAAAAAGAAACAAAACAACAAGACAAAACCAAAAAACCTAACAAATGAGTTATTTTTTATGGATGAGCAAAGAAACTGGTTTCCTGAGATGGAATGTACTCCTGGTGAAGATATAAACTGTTGAAATGACAACAAGAGATTTAGACTATTACATAAACTTGGTTGATAAAGTGGAGTGGGGGTTGAGAGAATTAACTCAAATTTTGAAAGAAGTTCTGCTGTGGGTAAAATACTATCAAACAGCATTGCAAGCTACAGAGAAATCTTTTCATGAAAGAGTCATCAATGCATAAACTTTATTGTTTTATTTTAAGAAATTGCGACAGCCACACCAACCATTAGCAAGCAGCACCCTGATCAGTCATCAGCCATCAGCTTGGAGGCAAGACCCTCTACCAGCAAGAAGGTTACAACTCGCTGAAGGTTCAAATGATCATTGGCATTTTTTAGAAATATAATATTTCAATATTAGGATGTATACTTTTTTTTAAGACATAATGCCATCGCACACTTTCTAGGTGGCAGTATAGTGTAAACATAACTTTTATATACACTGGGAAACAAAAAATTTATATGACTCACTTTACTTCGATATTTGCTTTATTGCAGTGGTCTGGAACTGAATATGCAATATCTGAGTATTCAGATGAGATAGTCCTGTGCTTTTAAATTAGGTTGCAGTTTGTTAGAAAGCAACTCAAAGTACAGACACAGCCTCAGGCTAACAGCTTTCTACTTTTAAAATTTAACAGTCTATACCCTCTCCAAGCCAGATGAATGCCTTCACTCCCTCATTTTCCATCCCAGCAGTCCCCACTGTCCTATTCCACCCAGTAGCTTCACAGACCTTTCTGTAGCTCAGGAAAGCCGTCTCCAAAAGCCTGCTCCACCCGTGTCACTTTCCTTGGAACCAGTTCCCTGTAATGACCTTGGCTTTCCCTGGCCTCCTGTTAGAGCTCACTTAGAACTCCAGTTTGTATGCATGCGCTCGTCACTTCTTGTTTTTGGGGCCGCACTTATGAGCTCCAGCCTGTTTTCTGAGGGCAGCCTATCTCCCAGATTGGCATCTCTTCCTTCTAAAGGGCTTTCAGATAATGCAGGATAGAAATGGGAGTGTGTGTAGGGGAGAAGTCACGGCAGAGATAAATCATCGCTTAAAGGAGACAGTGCAGAATTGGAGGAAAGGCTTGGACAACACTGAGAATGCATATAATAGAAAAAAAAATCACTCTGCTCACGGCCGTAAGACCAGAGCTCTAGCCCTGGATGCCAGCCTGCGATCTTAGTCACATTCCTTTGCTCTCTCTGGGCCTTTTTTTGTAGCTTTACAACCAGACAACTGGGCCAGTCCTTTTGAATTGTGATAGTCTATAACTTCCAGCCTCAGTTTACCCATTGGGAATGGAAATATTAGCCCCTGCCCTGCTAAGTTCACAGTGTAACAATTTGGTTTACAGCTTGTAAACAAGCCTACAACCTTAAGACTGCAGTGCTGCCCTCCACTTAAGAAGCCACTGAATTGTCATGTGTCTCACCCATTTTTCCTAAATGATGTAGCAGCTCTGCCATCCACCCAGCTTGTCACTCATATGGGAGAGAGGAGGGAACTACAGAGCAGCCTAGAAATAATTAGCAGTTGTCCAGCCGCAACCAGCCAGTTCCCTTGGAGCTTGGATTCCCTCGTCCCATCTCTCCATCAGCCCTTCACTTCAGGGCAGTTTGTGGCTGGGGAGGCTGGCAGAGGAGCCTGGTCCTCCCTGGTAGCCAATGGGAGAAGGTGGAGCCCAGGCAGATTCTGGAGAGAGCTAAGGCAGCAGGGGAGCAAGGGAAGCTTTTGTTCTCAAGGCTAATAATAGAACTTTCTGCAAAAGATACTGACTCACCATCTGAATTCTTCAGAATCTTCCTGGTGAGGGGAAGGGGTTGGAGAGGGTGAATGCATTGTTTCTCCCTCCCTCCCTTGTATTTCCTGTGTAGATCCGTCAGTCACTCCTTGGCTGTGTGACCTGAGACTAGAGACTGAGGAAGCCTCTAGCGAACAGAGGAGATTATCTTGATCACATGCCACTACTTCCAAAATGAGATCTCTGGTAGACACACTCCCTAGATTCCTTTCAGTTATCCATTCCTATATTGAGGAATAGTGTCTGGCAAAATTGAATTTGGGGATTGCCTCATTCTGAGCCTCAACCCATTTCCTCATGGAGATGGGCTAAAGGATGCCGTTAGTCTCTTAGGTTCTTAACATGGTTTGGATCCATGTCTCCACCCAAATCTCATGACAAATTGTAACCCCCATTGTTGGAGGTCGGGCCTGGTGGTTGGTGATTGGATTATGGGGTAGTTTTCATTAATGGTTTAGCATCCTCTCCCCTTGGCACTATATAGTGAGTTCTCACAAGATCTGGTAGTTTAAAAGTGTTAGCACCTACCCCTTTCTCTGTTCCTCCTGCTCACACTATGTAAGATGCCTGCTTTCACGTTGCCTTCCGCCATGAGTTAAAGCTCTCTGAGGCCTCCCCAGAAGCTGATGTTGCTATGCTTCTGGTACAGCCTGCAGAACTGTGAGCCAGTTAAACCTCTTTTCTGTATAAATTACCTAGTCTCAGGTATTTATTTATTTATTTATTTATTTTTTGAGACGGAGTTTCGCTCTTGTTACCCAGGCTGGAGTGCAATGGCGCGATCTCGGCTCACCGCAACCTCCGCCTCCTGGGTTCAGGCAATTCTCCTGCCTCAGCCTCCTGAGTAGCTGGGATTACAGGCACGCGCCACCATGCCCAGCTAATTTTTTGTATTTTTAGTAGAGACGGGGTTTCACCATGTTGACCAGGATGGTCTCGATCTCTTGACCTCGTGATCCACCCGCCTCGGCCTCCCAAAGTGCTGGGATTACAGGCGTGAGCCACCGCGCCCGGCTCAGGTATTTATTTATAGCAGTGTGAGAACAGACTAATACAGTTCTTTAAATGAAATACTCTCAGATCTTTCTGTTCTCTGGTGACCAAGATAGCCTAACTTTCCCCTCAGCTTGAACAAATAGGTTCCTTCCTGACTCTATGCTCTTGACCTCCCTTAAGAATATTTGCTTTAGAAAATTTATTGTCGGTTCTTTCTCTGTTTCTTGAGATGTAAATCTTCTGCCAGCTTCTTTCCAGTTTTACAACTCAGGAATATCTTTCTCTAGGACCTGAGAACCATCTCTTTGAAATGTAAACATTGAGGAAGATAGTGCCTCCTGTCTCCTGGTTTCCATGGGTGGGAAAGGTAGGAAACTTGGGGTTGGGGGGGTGGGGGTGGGGGTAGGGGTCCAAATTGTAAAACGATCTTTTATCATAAAATAGGAGAAAGTTCATTTTTTTCTTTTGGTAAGGCCAATTAGTAAACACAGATGGTTTAAAATTCTTTCCACCCTAGCTCTTACAAACTCCTCAGCCCTTTGTCTCTGCCTCACTAGATGTCAGACTTAGTTTGCACCCTCTCCCCCAACACTGGCAATAGCATCAGAACAAAAATCAACTCCTGTTTATCATGTCTGGTATAATTTTTTTCTTTAAACTTTTGATTATGGTTTCCCTCAAATGCCCTCAAATCCCTCTCTTCTTGTCTTTTTTTTTTTTGTCTCATACTTTATTTGGCAGCCGAATAACATACTTCTGGAAATGCGTGTATCTTACCTCTCCCATTCTATTAATACCAACATTTTTTCAGGGGAGAAATGTGTCCAAGATGCTCTGAAAGCACATACTGCCTAAGAGAGCGCTGTATGTGCTCAAGCCCTGTTTATTGACAAAACAATTAACTTCCACAGCAAACTACAGCTGTTAATTAACTTCAAAAACATACCGTGATTTAAAAAAATTATTTGTACTGTTTTCTGCCAGCAGAAATAGCATTCCCCCCAACCCCCAATGACTGGCTAGGAAGAGAGACTCTGAATCCTTCTTATCTCTTTTTCTATAAAGATACTAAGTTTTGGGAAGAGAAATAAACTGGATTTAAGGGGGGAGCTTCCACGCTGGTCTCTTCAAAAGAGGCCTCAAGAAGAAAGATAGGTCTCTGTTGTTGTGGAAGATTTTCTGGAATTTAGTTAGGAACATGGGATGAACAGAGGCACAGAGGGAATCATGCTGTGGGATGCACCATGCTTTTAAAGCCAGAAAGTGAGATGTCCTTCCTCTCTTAGCTTGGGCCCTTTGAAAGTATTAGAAACAAACTTGTCCCCTAAACTTGATCCTAAAGTCCCCTAACTGCTCATGGCAATGTAAAACTTGAGAGAAAACTAAGGCTTTGTTCAGTTTACTAATGTCTATATTATATATTTTAATATGCACATAGTGGAGAAACCAGTGTACAAAGAAATGAAATGATGTGCCTAAGGTCTTCCTCTGTGCATGCAGTTTGTGGCAGCATTGGGATGTGGATTCCAAATCTCTGAGTCTGGTCTTCTTTCCCATGTACGATGCTGCCTTCCTCCTGCTGAGCTCAGGGATTTGGAGGACCAAGGAGTAGAGGCTGGATGTTGAGGACAGTGCAGTTTCCTGAAAAAGGTGGGAATTAGGTTCCTCTATGAAGCCACTTCTGTCAGACCACATGCTGTTGTGGTGGTGGAAAAAGCCTGCAATGGGAATAAAAAAGATACATATCATGCATTTTTGAAACAACTTTGGGTACTGAGGTTGGCAGGAACTTTCATATCTCAGCTGTGGAAATGTTTCTCAGTACTATAAGTGATATTTAAAGCTAATAGCAGCAGCAGCAGCAGAGTTATGTGACTTAGGGTTTCTGCTCTTTTCATAATAAGATGAGATTCCTGCAAGAGTTTACCTCTTGCTGTTTAATACCTATAAAATCATATATTTATACCTTTCTTCTTTTGTATAGATTGCTGAGCACTGTTGGAGAATATCACTAAACCACTACCAATTCATGTTTTGCACCTTGAAATGAGCCTGGTGTTATTCACCTATTCAACTAGCAATGCATTTTCTATTAATAATTCTCTTTATTCTCCATAGGAGAATTCTCAAATTTTCACCATTCTTCTCCTGACTCACACTTTTTAGTATGACCTCACAGAAAAAAGAGAGAATGAAATAGGCAGAAATTTTCTTCACTTCCTTTCCAGATGACCAATATAATTGTATTTATACTTACAATTTTTTTTTCCATTTTTTCTTTCCTCTAATCTCAGAGAAAGATCTGTCATACTACTTTATGGCTAGCTATACCCCCCAAAAGTGCTTTGAATCTCATTTCATCCCTGTTCTCAGTGACTTCACACCATCATTATCCCTGATATGGTTTGGCTCTGTGTCTCACCTGAATTGTGATCCTGAGTGTTGGAGGTGGGGCCTCAAGGGAGGTGACTGGATCATAGGGGCGGATTTCCCCTTTGCTGTCCCAATGACAGTGAGTGAATTCTCATGAGATCTGGTTGGTTGAAAGCGTGTAGCCCTTCTCCCTTCTCTCTCTCTCTCTCCTGCTGGCCATGTGAATATATGCTTGCTTCCCCTTCCCCTTCCCCTTCTGCCATGATTGAAAGCTCCTGAGGTCTCCCCAGCCATGCTTCCTGCACAGCCTGTGGAACTATGAGCCAATTAAACCTCTTTTCTCTACAAATTACCCAGTCTCAGGTAGGTCCTTATAGCAATGTGAAAACAGACTAATATAATCCCTTCTCTCCTGAACCACAACCTTTCCCATTCTGTTGATTCTTTCCTTCCAGGGAAATATTTACTATATGCTTAAACTTTCCCCAACCTAAAAAAACATTGTTTACCTACTTTCGTTTCATCATTTCCTATTCACTTTTCATATTAATATTTTAAAGCCCTTTCATTCAAATGAAAATATTCTTCTCAAGGTTAGTAATTGTTATCTAGTCACAAATACAATGGTAGCTTTGCATTCTCCTTCCTGTTGGATATTTTATGGTAAATGTTACCAAAGACTACATCTTCCTTCTTGAGAGAAACATCACTTGGTTTCTATTTGCAAATTTCTTTTTCCAATCAATATTTCTCCTTTATATATATTTTTTTCCTTGATAAATCTTTAAATCCTAGTATTTCTAAGGTTTTTTTTTTTTTTTTTTTTTTTTTTTTTTACTTTAGATTCTGATTCTACATGCTTTCTTGGGTGAGCCATCTTTTCTTATGTCTTCACCTATTATAAGTAAGCCTTGAATTCCAAAAACCTCAATTCCCCAGATTTCTTTATCCAACTGTGTTATGAACTACTGTTTGAGTTTGCCCTCCAAAATTTGTGTTGGAATATAATTACCATTGTGATAGTATCAAGAGGTGGTTCTCAGAGAGGATTACATAAACTCATCAGTGTGAGACTCCCATGATGAGACGGTGGGATTTATAAGAAGAGGAAGGGAGACCTGAGATGGCATGCTCTTGCTTTTTTACAACGTGATGTCCTCTGCCATGTTATGATGCAGTAAGAAGGCCCTCACCAGATGTGGTCCCTCAACCTTGGACTTCCCAGCTCCCAGAACTGTAGTAAATAAATTTCTTTTCTAAAATAAAACATCCAGTTTATAATGTTCTATTATGGCAACAGAAAAGCATCCAAGACATGGACCTGTTTATTTCAGTATTTTAGAAGTGCCTCACACTCACCATGTTCAGATATGAACTCACCAGTTTGTTCTAAATAGTCAGACAAGATAACTAGATATTCTTTCAGGACAGTGTTAGTCTTGACTTTCAATTTACAGTGCTATTTTACAGTGCTGCAAGGGCAGAGTTACCTTACAGATTTATGTTGGTAGAGATGCAAATAATTTCCATCCAGTGGAACCAGCAATTCCAGAGATAAAGTTTATGCTGTTATTGAATATTAACCATCTTTGTACCTAATAATGGCAATCTATTAAGTTCTCTCTCTATATAAATTAACTTCTCAAATAGTGTTTGGACCAGTTAAAGCATATTGCTGGTACCTTTATTAATTAATGAGTTGAGGGAAGTCTTTGGACATATTTATCTACATTTGCATGACAGTCATTATTTTACTTTTTTGAAAATTATACTTTAATATATTTGCCTTCCAAATTGTTATTCCTACTTTACTTAATTCTTAATAAAATGAAATTTATATGCATTTAGTTGCCCAAGAAGAAACCTGCATGCTCTATCTTTCTGTTCCTCATTCCATTCTTCCTTCCCAAACATGAGTCTAAGTGGTCCTGGCTTAGACATCTTACCTCCTAAATATCTCAGAATCTCACTCATCCTGCCCTCCATTCCCACTGCCTTCGGCTTATTTCTGATCATCACATTTCTCCTCAGGTTTCTGCAGTAGATTGTTAAATTATTTTCCTTACTCCACTGGCTTCCTACCCAGTCCACCTCCTATATTTCTGCCAGAATAATCTTTCTAAAAGACAAATCTAATCATCTCACTTCCTTTGTAAATTTTCCAGTGGGCTCCTGTGGTCTCCTATCTTAGACTAAATCAAAACACTTAAAATAACATAGGAGACTTTGTTTTATAATCTGCTTTCTATTTATCTTTCCTATTTTCATTTTTGACCTGTCTCCAGAACATCCCCTTTCTCTCACTGGGCATAAGGTGTCGTTTCAGAAGATACTGTGGTATTCCATTCATCTGGCTTTGAACTTGTCTTTCTGACTGCCTAGAATATCAATATTCTGTTTTCTTTTTTTCTGCTCCCCTCAGCCACCTTCTCCCTGTTCAGTGTTTACACATCTGTCCAGACTCACTTTCTCTACATCTTTGCCAACACATATCATTAAAAAATAATAATGTCATCTTCTGAGAAGTTAATTTCTGTGTACTTATGGCATTTGATGAAAAGTATTAATAATTACTGATTTTCTCATCATGTCTTTCACTAAACTATGAGCTCAAAGTATCCTGTGAACATTTCTGCTTATTCTGTATAATGCTCCCCTTGGTGGTGAGTTTATAAGAAGGCAAGCACATTTCAGTGATGACAAAGGTGTAAGAGAGTTGCTACTTAGCTTAAAGGGTCAAGGCACACATTAAATGAAGGTTAGATCCAAGTACAGGTAGTGAGGCTTGCCCTGATCCACAGTAACAGCCTAAACTCCTGCTCAATCAGGGCCATATTCTCTGATGGAAACAGCATTGGCTCGAATCTCAGGAGACCTGGGCCCTAGTTCTGGCCCTGATACTAACTAGTTGCATGATCTTGCTAAGTCTTTTTCTTTTCCTGATCCCTTTCAAGTATAAAATGGATTCTAGGCAAATGAAATCACAAAATGAAAAACCACAGACAAAAGAACACTGCTGTATCTTCTTTTCCTTGGTCTTCCCTTTATCTTTACTGTCTCATTCTTTTTTTTGGCTGTGGAAGCCAGAAAGATACTCTCTATCTGCATTGCATAATCCCCATTTTCTAAGTTGTCGTTCAAATGGATCACCAAGGCTGCTTCGAAGGCTGCCAAGCCACACGATGTTCAGGTGTCCACATTCACACAGAAAGCTATGTCAACATTGCTTTTGAAGATGTGCAGAGAAGAGGAGGTCCTGGTTTCATCCATGTTACCTTACACAGCCCTTCTGGTAGAAAGAGCCTCTAGTAGTTATACTCCACAACATTTTCAGAAATATTGTCTCATATAACTCTTATATAGAGAGATGATGTCCACAAGGTTCATCCATGCCATCACATATTGCAAGACTTCTTTCTTTTAAAGGCTGAATAATATTTCATTGTATATCTATGTCACATTTTCTTTATCCATTCATGCATTGATGGACATTAAGTTTGTTTCCACATCTTAGACATTGTGAATAGTGCTGCAGTGAAAATAGGAGTGTTAAGGTCTCTTCAAGATCCTGATTTCAGTTCTTTTGGATAAATACCCAGCAATAGGATTGCTACATCATATGGTAGTTCCATTTTTTTGTGTTTTGAGGAAACTTAGTACTGTTTTCCACAGCAGCTGCACCATGTTACCTTCTTAGCAACAGTGTACAGAAATTCCAGTTACTCTACATGCTTGACAACAGCTATCTTTTCTTTTCACTCATGGCCATCTTAACAGGTGTGAGGTAATATCACATTGTGATTTTGATTTGCATCTTCTTGATGATTACTGATATTGAGAATCTTTTGCTGTACTTGATGGCCACTTGTATATCTTCTTTCAATAAATGATAATTCCAAAATATATAAGGAACTTCTTCAACTCAATAACAAAACAAATAGATCATCCAATTAAAAAAAATGGGTAAAAGTTGAGAGCCATCCCTTTGACATGTAATTATCAAGGAAGATAACACATCTCTCCTCCAGTCTCCACAGGCAGGTGGGCATCTAACTTAAGCACTTTGTTTTAACTTGCAAAATTACTTCCTGTCTTAAAAATATGAGAAGTTTATTTTTCTTTGGATAAAGTCAATTGATGGACACAGATGGCCACTCCAATTACCAGGTAAATCTAGGGTGAACTCTGAGTGATGAGTGATTCTGTTAAGTCTTCTTACTTGAGGACAAAATATTGTTTATTTAATAACAGCCATGTATGTGTTGCATCTGCTTGGTTATATAAAAGGGTAAGATTTCCTTCTGTCTTTGCAATCTGTTTAGTGGATTTTCTGTAATGCACATCA